AATACATGTACAATGTAGTACATACATTGTACAATGTATTTACTGCTAAAGATAGAGTCTTGGGCAGAAAATGAAAAAAAAATCTTGATAATTCTATCCAGCCCATCAAATTCAAAGACAGATATTGGCAAGCTATTTTACAAGCTGATATGACAATGGTGCTACCCAGGTGCATGGGATAAAAATGGTTGCTATAAAAAATGAAGCCAATTAATTGATCATAAATTATAAATGTGATGTTTTCCATGCCCTGCACACATTGTATTGTCAATGACATCATACAGGGAGCTAAAATTTTCATATGAAGGTTAAAATGTGTGGTAAAGTTGTGGCCACCATATAATCATATAATCAAGAAGCCAAAATAATATATTCATACTGCTAAAACATACATTTTAACATTTACTTAAGCACCAATAAACTAATTTTTCACCACATGGAGGCAAACTCTGCAACCATTTCATTTTCTATGAAGAAAAAATATATGGGGAAAAACTTTCCCACTGCTTCATATGAAGTACAATGGGAAGCATGATAAGGTTTTAAAAAATGGCCCTTTTACCGTAACCTTCTCAATCCCATTTACATGGTCCCATCACCAGATAGACAGCCACGATACCGGTAACATCTTGCAGTACCTGCTCGGATGCAAATTGCCCCATGTCCTTTCTTATCTCCCTCTAACAAAACCTCAGCTAAACTATGATGGAGAGTAGAAGTTAGAAGAAGCCAGGGAGGCAGAGAAAGGCCAGAAACCATAAAGCCTGGATCACACTGCTGTGCCGGGTGATGTGTGGAACATGTAACCATGGCTGACAACTTCTACATTGCTGACATTTCTGGGAAATTACTGTTTCACAAATTCATGGACAAATTAATTCATAAACCTTTTTGGGATGCACGAGTGACCTTTTAGCACAATGGGTGCTACAGGAAGGGTTTTTTTGTGACATAATCTCAGCTCGGCAACACTTGTTGTCAATTACCGTCAATGCATTAAGCCATTGCAAATGTCTGGGGAACGATAAAGCTTGAAGGACGTATGAGGAAACTATTGCAGCGATCATTAGGCACTTGTGCACTCCGCGGGCAATTTCACTTATTTGGATTGTGCTTTTACTGTCTCGTCACTGGGCAATTACATAAACTAGTCGGTATTTTTGCAGCATTCAACTTGATAAGTGAGTTGAAATTGGCTTTCTTTTGTGCTTTTTGAATACTCGGTATTTGGATATTCCAGACAGTGATGTAACTCATGATACCAAAATGAGATATTTTAACACAAATAATGAATTTAGTCACACAATGCTGGTGCACTCTAATTGCAGTCTACTGTTGTACTCTATGTACAGTGAAGACTATTTTTGAAAACAACATGCCTGTAAAATACTACATGTTGAAAACAGTGGTTGTACACTAACAATTCTCTTTGATAACAACAGTGATGTAAATGTCTCTATTCTTTGCATATGTCCATTAGCCGTCGTGAAATTTTAATGACATTTGGTTGTCAGGAAAAATTGGGACAAAGTATGGTAATTTGTACTTTCCCTGCTGCGAGGGTTAAAGCAGCCGCTGACTTCCCATTTTGTTGAAATCTGAATAGCAGAAGGGGAACAGTTTTGGGCAATCTACAGGAGACTCAAAGTCTGTGGTGGCTCCGGAACCTCAAACTTCTGTCTGCCCTTTTCTGTATGACAGAAGGCAAACATTGAACATAGTTTTGACAAATGAACGATGCCTGCTATCAGCATCTGCTGTTCAATAGAAGATGGAGAACCTACTTAGAGCCAGCTGAATGGGATCTTTTCTTGTAAATTACATGTTTGCAAATTGGATGCAATAGGGAAAGCAAGTCCCAGGGATGCAGCCTAAGTGATGACACAATTATTTATTGATGATACACCTCTGCTATCGTCTCCATCTACAAGTGATGGCATAAATTCTACCAGGATCTTCTCACTTCTGACATGCGAACCAGGAGTGTTGCCCCCACATTAGCATGTGTACCCACATGCGTACACTTCCGGCCGTAATGTCGAGCAAAGCGATAAGCGAGTGCCAGGATCGATACGGCTCTGAAAGTTTCATGAGACATTTGGAGCTGGGATGAGATGCTCTGCCGTTACCACTCGCCCAGGGATTTGCCATGTCACTGATAATAAAAAACATAATTGAGTGGAGAGAGAGTCTGGAAATATTTGGGCTTATCAAGGACGACACACTTCCTTTGCCCTCTCCTGTGGCGCAGTGCACAAAAGCCAACGACGACCAACAGGGGAGCAGCCAACTCTCTGATGGCCCTTAATGTTATGTTTTATTTAGTCAGCCCCATCAACACAAAGCAGGTACAGATATCTTGAGTGTGAAAATTGCCTCTAACATCATAACCGTCACTCAGGCTGAAAAGGAGCCTGTCAAATACATTATCTAAAGTCACGCAATCATTGATCTACTTCCCAGTTTAGTGTATTGTCCCATTTTTGTACCCATTACCACCCTAATGCACTTGCATGTTCCATACAATTTGGCCCTTTTAGGCCATTAGCTATGTGGACTCCTGTCGTGAGAGCGACATGATTGGAAAATTGCTTGCAACAAGTATAATCTGTGTTTTATTGGTTCTCATGACTGTGGCAAAACAGGCAGCTAACAATCAGGAGAAGCCTGTGATTAGATGTAGATATCAAAACAGCACAATTGAACACAACGCACGTCTTTCTGTAATGGCCTTGAACTGACAAAACTTTCAACATGCAGCTATTCACAGACATGTGAAGTGGATACCGTGATATTTAATGGATATACATGTAGCTTCTTTTAGTCCTTTTGACACAGAAAATATAATTCAAAAATAAGCTGTAACCTCTGATGTTCAGAAATCCATTGCTGAATTTCTGCATTACGACAAAATGCATCAGTTCCCAACGATCTTGCTATGGGTTCATAACTACATTGTACATGTATGTGGTGCATGAGTTGGTAGAGGATCAAGTATTTATGTATAATTGACGTTACTACAGATAGGCAATTGGATGATGATGTGCTTGGAGTCTTAAGAAGTAATGAAGTCATTTAGCATACACTAGTACTACATAAATGCAAGTTACATGAAACATATTGCAAATTTGAATTTTTCATGCAATTATTCCCATGGGCCCAAGAACTTATCATAAACCTGTACCAGACTCTTTGGGACTGGATAATGATGATCACCGAAAATTATGTACAGAACAGATGTAGCCAGCTGAAGGGGTTTGCATCTAAATGTGTTATGCAGCTACATCATTGAGACTTTCTCTGTGATCATATTTGTCACATTAACCAAGGCTTGGATTTTTTTTTACATACCTGCACTGCAGAAATAACCTGCACTTGACAAATTGCCGGAAGCATTTTATGCTTCCGGCCTCCCTGCACTGTTACATTTCATTTATATTTTCTTGTATTTGTATTGTTACATTTTGTTTTAAAGTGCGAAATAAACATAACATAAACATAACATAACATAACAAATTTTACCCGCACTGATCTGCATTAAAAATAGGTTCAAAGTATTCATCAACCTAGCCTTTTAAAATTTTTTCAGAGATGCCATTACAAATCGGATGGCACCTAGGCTACCAGTATCAACCTGCAAAAGTGCAAATAGTTCAGACAAATTTTGATTTTTTTACCAAGCATTTCCCAGGTAACAATGACTCAAATCATAATATGTAATGTTACAGCAAACAAACAAAATCCACAAACAGTTGCATACTCAGATAGAGCATACATGCACACATACAGAAATACCTGCACAACAATTTTACCTGCACTGGTGATACTAGTATTTTGCAACCTGGTATGAGAAAAAAATTACACATATATCCTGTGTATCAGTCAGTCATTTTCTTCAGTACAGTATTTCTAACAATCAGCTTTGGTTGGTTGATTTTGTTTGGTAAAAACTTGTACTTTATGGCCTCACAAAAGGACCTGCCTAACTGGTATCACCAAGGATTTCCATGACTGTGTGGATACTTTGCCTAACTAGATGATCACCAGAGCTGGCTTGGCCTTACTGCATGCAATTACACCGGTCTGCCTAACACAACCACCATACAGTTTGCATGTATAAAATGGGTAATTTTGACCCATAATGATACCCAAATATGAGGGGCAGCTGTTGTCCTATACAAATAAATTGCAGCATGAAATCAACTTTTAAAACAGTTTATTACAATCTCCTCTACTACAAGGCTAGAAAGTAGAAGCAACTAAGACTAAAGAGCCAATTATTATGTTT